AGGAAAATAAGTTGTCTTGGGTAGTCATGCCAGTTAGAAGAAAAATAATGAAATTACAAAATGCTTCCAAAACAACAAAATTGTTAATTACTAAGAGAAGTAAAAAAAAAAAAATAAAAAAATCATTCGGAAGTGAATCCTTGACAAATGCAAGTTATTTAAACATTTGGGTTTTTTCAGTTTTGTCAGCAGTCTGTGCTTGTAATTAAGACATTACTGCTCTGAAAGAAATGTCTTAATATTATTTATTGAGCATGGTACATACAGTTGGTCTGTAATTGATACTATCAATAATAATTTCTGTGCTTTTAGAAAACTACTTTAATTCCATAACAGAATTTTATGCAGACAAATAAACTAACTACATCAATATGTTGTCTTCAGTTTAAAAATGAAAAAAAAAATCAAAAAGATAATGTGCAAATCTAAATGTAACAGCCCCACTCTTTAGCTGGAGCTGGTAAATTTTAATTTGACTTAAGCACATGTTAAAACACATTTCATCAGCTACTTACAAAATTAGGCACTATTTTGTTTGATGTTAGTAAGAACAGGAAACTTGGAGTGATGGCTATTGCTACAGCTGTTTGCAGTCCTTATGTAACACCAGATGTGAGACTGATGTCTCTGCATTTTGTGCTCTCCTGTAACTCTCACGTAATCAAACATGCAAAAACATAATGAGAGGATGACTGGACAAGTTTATCACACAGGGAATTGTTCAAGACATTCATAAATCACTGCACAACCACACACACTGAAGGAAAATTTATTGTAATGCCCCAGATAACAAAAAACATTTATATCTACAATGAATTCAAATACAAGCATATCAGTTGTAGAAAATGTCTCTGATGTATCTTAACTGGTAGTCTTTTGAAAGATGTAATGCTAAAAGCCACACAAAATGAGGGATGAGTGTTTTATCAAACTAAGGCATGACAAACCAATTAACTTGAGTTTCCACAGCTTTATTTTTTGTTATTAAATTATCCTCATTTAAATGAACTCTGCTATGAAATACAGATGCTAGAAGGAGTAATCAAGTATTTAAATGAAGCTGTATTGCAAAAAAAACCAAATAAATACTGTGTTGGTAAAAGTTGTTAAGGAATCAGCCATACTTTGCTTTTTCTGTTGCTAGAGCCAATCTGCGAATATTTGCTATGCAACCAGCTGCTGCCTCCTGCAGAACTTCATCTGTAGAGCCCACCATAGCCAGTAGGAGCTAACAAAAATACAGAAGAGGCACAGCATAAGAAAAACAAATAAGTGTGCTGTTATTTCAATAGTGTTCAAATCATATCTAGAACAATTGCTCGAATTTACCCACACACATAATAAATAAAATACTAACAATCACATTAATGATGCTGTATGATATATGTATGTGTACTATTACATGTATACTTTTGTATACATACATGTATTAACACCCAGATAAGAGTATGATGCTTTATATTTTAGCATATTTGTACCTCTGGATGGATATTTTCATGTCTGATTTTCTGGTTATTGTACCATGTCTGTCTATTGGTTTTGATGTTTTTCTTGTAAGTAGAAATGGCACATGCTTTATTTGAGTCATGGTTTTCCCAAGGTATACCTGTATAGTTGTACATGCTCAAGATTTTTAATAAACAAAGCCTAGCCTATTTTTTTGGTCTAGATCAGGAAACTGGATCCATCTGAATGGACCCTTGTGTCCCATTGACTTCAGTAGGTTTCTTTATTGTCCCAGCAAACCACTCATGGTAAACTGCTTGAGGGATGCAGATCTGGGCGTACCAGTCTTAAACATTTGCACGTAGAAGTGAAAAACAAAAGCTCAGGAAAGGCACCAAACTTTTTGAGTTGAGCTTTTCACCCACTTGCCAGTGTACAGGAGATCCTTTACACTGGAAATAATTCAAATTTTTCAGTAGAAATTCCCTGGATGTAAGGTGTGGAAAGGCACCAAACTTTTTGAGTTGAGATTTTCACCCACTTGCCAGAGTAAAGAAGATCCTTTAAATTTTTCAGTAGAAATTCCCTGGAAGTAAGGTACTGTTTAACATGAGTATGAGATAAGACAGGCCTTGACGATAAAACATTTTTGCATATCAGAAAACCATTAATAATGGTTTTGGGTCTCACTTCAGTGTGTTGCAAGTCAGTGATGCAACTGCAAATGCAATATATGCTGGAAAGGAGAAGACTCTTGCTTAGCTTAAATCAGCTCCACACAACCCTCAGATTTCTGAACATTTGCCAGGCTTAATGTGCGTTCAGGTATTTTGAAGCTCAGACAGCTCTAATTAAAACCTATACTTTCAGTCTGCAATACTTAGGAATCTGTATTCACCAAAACAATGTTGAGTCAAACCACAGAGAAATCTGTTATCACTCAACTCCGGTGCATATTTTTCATACAACTAAAATATTACACAAAATTATGAACTGCTAAATATAAAAGCATAAATTGAATGCAGACATCAAATTCATATGCTACCTTTTTCTAACCTTCCAGCAGTCATGAGGCATGGGCCACAGCTGCACACATATGGCATTTGCTTAGAGAGATCAAAGCATTTTGTACTTGAGGAAGCATTTGTGTTAGCCAAATGTACAAAACAAGCATCTTGCCAGTCACCTTTAACCCTTTGACCTCTACATGCTACTTGTACGAGCTCCTGTGACAGGCCTGAATTATGTCAAAAAGAGCATTATGTCAACCTAGCAACAATGAGAGTTTTTTTCTAGCAGTTCTTCTTCCTATCATTTCCAATACTGTGATTAGATATCTAGGTCCAAGTAGCTAAGTAAGAATTCTCAAAGTATTAATGCTCTTGAAAGGATATGCCAAAGTTAAAATGACATGAGAAGAAATGATAGGAGAAAGTTTTATGTTCTTAGACTTTATTTGCATGCAAAACCTGGGCCAGAGTCAGCAACCAGAGAAGTCAGTGGAAGGTTTACCACTGATTTGGAATGGATGTAAGACCAAGGAGCATGTCTATGTGTAACAATATAGCTGCTCACAAAGCAATGCAAGCCTTATCAAATGCTTAACTTTGATTTTATTCTTATGAAATATTGCTGAAGATCTTTTTTCCTTGCTGTTTGCCACCAGCTGATTTCTCATCAGTTTAAATTATCAAGTGATTCTCTGGATGTCTCAAAGTTTTTTTGTGTAACTTACAGAAGAAAACTGCTACAGATCCTTCACATCCCTGACTCAAAACCAAAAACATGTATGCACATACAGTTCATAGGGTGGTTATGGTAGAGCTGTAAGTTTCAAATTTGGGGGCAAAGAAACTATATACCTTATGTGATTATTCACTGCATGTTCACAGACCTAATGCAAGGTTTTTTCAGCACAGGGTGACACTCAGACTTTCAGAATAGTTTCAGATATGACTTGTTATCAATGTATAAGAGCAGAAGTTCATCACAAAAATAATGTTTTGGAGATACATAATCTAGTAGGAATATAGCAAAAAGCAAAACCAGACCTTTGCCTTTATTATGACTACATATTAGGACTCAATTCAAGGTTATTTATCTCTTGTATTAGCCACCACTTATTTCTAGGCTCAGAAGACTTAGGAAAACAGGTATTTTTCTGTCACTTTCCATGAAGAGCTCAATATTAAGCAATGACAATAGCTATAGGGGAGGATCTGTGCTCTCTGTTGCAGGTTTGTTTTGGAAAATCCAGGTAAGGTATCAGAATGCTACATGACACTGGTTCAAAGTACCCAAGTAGATGCCTAAAGAATTAGTAGTATTATTGCAATTAATGCAGACAAAAGTTTTTATAAAGTTATCAAATACTGATTTTTTTCCTTCTGAGTTCAGGGGCTCAAGGATCAGTTCCTCTCTAATTTGCTGTTCTTCTAAATCACTTGCCAGTGGTAACAGCTGTAAGAACTGCCACGTCATAGAAAATCCATTACTACACTGTGTCTCAGGGTTTTAACAATATGACTTCAAAGGAATATTCTTGGAAACACTGTCCAATACAGTAGCTGCCTCTAAGGACTGAGGATATACAGCAACATTTGTCATTTAACCTACTCCTTTTGTGCTAACAAAAGGACAGCAGAGGAGAAGATCATCAAAAATGCAAAATATTTCAATAGAAGTAGGTCATGCCATATTTAGGAAGCCAATTTTGAAGTTTTTGATATAAGTCCTTTCTTAAATGAAATTAAAAACTATTCTTTTTTTATAAACCACAACATTTACAATTCTTTTATTCCCTGTCACTTCTTGACCCTTTCATGGGCTCAGTTCAATTTTCTGGCAATTTGGGTCATCCAATTCAGGTATGGAAATGTATTCGTAGATAGTATACACAAACTAAACCCACATATTTGATATATTTGACAAGTCCAAGAAATTATTTTTTTTACTCCAATGCACCCGTGCAATGTCATTTTTCTTGATGCAATGCCCTTGAACTTTATGTATCCCTTTGCCTTTACTGTTCAGGTATTGTTTTCTGACACATGTAAATGTTAACAGATGTGAGAAGCAGTAAAAAAGCATGTGGTATATAAATGCTTCTTTCTGGCACGTAAAAGGCACTTTCCATAGACAGAAAGCATTTGCAGCACCATGTAGCCTTCATTTTCTGTTGGCAGGTATCTATATTCTAAGGCAAGGGTCCAATATTTTTTGCACAGTTAGCACGTCAGACCAGCAAATAAGCACAAATACAAGCTGTTTGGAGAACGTACAGAGCATATGTAGCATTTCTGGATCCCAAAAGCAAGGGCAATGCACAGCCAAATCACTTAAATATTCAACACAATTAAGATTCTGCTAATACTATACTGGCTTTAAAATAGCACAGAATTGTGATACTATATTCGGAGTGCACCATCACAGAATAATTCAGAATGAAGCGGATCTCAGGAGGTCTCTAGCCTAACGTCATGCTCAAAGCAGAGTCAGCTATGGGGTTAGACCAGGTTGCTCAGTTTTATCCAGTTTGATCTTGAAAAACTCCATGGGTAGAGATGGCACAACCTCTTTCGGCAACCTATTGCCGTGTTTGAGTGACCTTGGACAGAAAAAGGTTTTCCCTGCATTCAGTTACTCCCGTTTCAATTCATGCTTGTTTCTCATCCTCTTGCCATGCATCGCTGTGAAAAGCCTAGCTCTGTCTTTTTGATGACTGACCTCCCTTTAGGCACTGGAAAGCTGCTACTGAGTCCACTTACAGCTCTCTCTTTTCCGGGCTGAAAAAGCCTAATTTCCCTAGTTTCTCATCATAGAACAAGTGCTCCAGCTCTT